CTATTAATGGAACCTTTAACCTTGACATTTGTTATTATCATTGTTTAATCCTTACATTAATATTTCATCTCAAAGTTCTTATCTTCTTCTTCTTCTTCTCCTTCTTTTTCTTTATTATTATTATTATTGGTATTACTACTAATATTATTATTGTTGTTGTTGTTGTTGTTGTTGATGATGATGATGATGATGATGTTATTGTTATTATTATTGTTGTTGTTGTATTATTGTCATCTATAATTTATACAATTAACCTCCTTGTGATTTGACTCTGGTCTTGCCGGGTTATTTATTACTTCGACACTCCTACACTTGGGAGAAAACATCAATCTTTTGGTCGTGTCACAATGTGAACAGTGGCTAAACTTGAAGAAGAAGAAGAAGAAGAAAGGGAAAGGAAAGAAGGCGTAGCCGCGGTGGCTCACGGTGCTTCTAGTGACTTTGGTGGTGGCAACGGTGCTGCTAGTAGTTGCTGGGGGCACGATGGCCAGCAATTGCTCTTTTTTTTCTTCTCTCTCTCCTCTATTTTTTGCTCTTCTCTACTTCTACTTTTTCTTTTTTTTTCTTTTGGTTTTTTCCCTCTATTCTGCTCTCTCTTCTCTTCTCTTCTCTTCTCCTCTATTCTTTCCTCTCATTCTGGTTCTGCCTTTTTTTTGCTCTTATGCTCCCCTATTTTTATAGGCAAAAAGCAGGGGAGAAAGTGGATAGGGCGGCCACTATGCTACCGCCCCTCCAACACGTGGAAAGTGGTCGGCGTCTTTTTGGAAGGAGTCTGTATCTTTTTGAAAGGAGTCAATAGCAATGATAGAGGAAGAAAAAATCTTCTTCTTTCCCTGCTTCACGCGTCCAAGGGACAAGAGGTCACATAGTGCCTTCAAAACAGCACCGTTTCGGGCCCTTTTTTATGTAAACAGTTCATGAAACGGCATCCTTTTGGGCAAAACATGTCGTTTCATTTAAATGAAAACAATGCCAAATTTATGTCAAAGTACAAATGAGTCCTCAATTTATAATTTGTTCAATTGAGTCCTCAATTGCAATTTTGATTTTAAAAATCAATTTAATTTCATCTCTACCAAATTCAATCGCTGGCCTTAAAGTTCGCCGCCTTTTTCAAATTAATCCTTGGTCTCCAATTAGTGCAATTTAACCCTTAATTGAGCAATAAACTTTTAATTTCTTCAATTTGGCCCCTGATTTGGTTTTAATTACAACCCCTTTATTTACACGTGTTTTTCATTTGGTCCTTAATTTCGGATTTCTTCAATTAAGTCATTAATTGGCCATCAAACTTCAATAGTTATATAATTAAGCCCCTGATTTGACCAAATTAAGTTTCAAAAATTATAAGTGAACCCTAGAACTTTAATTTCTTATAACTTAAATTAACTCCAAAATCAGTTTTTTCAATTAAACTTTCAATAAAATTTAATTAAATCCATAAACATCTGATTTTGCCATTTTCTTCCCCAAATTGAATTTTCTATCAATAGAACTCTCCTCGGTCAATAAAATACTATTAAATTTTAATTTTTATATTTTGGAACCTCCTCAACCAATCTTTAACCATTTTTAAAGCGCTCTAACATCCTCTTTTTATTGTTATAATTTTTTATAATATTTTTTATTGTTTTGTATTTTTTTGATGAAAAAAATATGAATTGTAGAATAACTCAAAAATAAATTATAACAAGTCTTATCATTCTGGGCACAAAATAAAAATTACAAATACAGCATAACACTTTGTTTAATCATTGACTACATGCATCTCCACCATAAAAAAAAATGAAGCAGATGCCACATTTCATTATTAGAACAATATAGCAAGTTAAACCATTCAAAACTGATTCTAGAACACATGATCTGGTAACAAACTGAAATAGCAAATAAAACTACTCCACACATATTGCTTCAAGCAACTTCTGACAATCATCATTCACTTCCACATTCTCCATCTTCAATCTGCGACGCATCATTTGGCTTTTTCTTCCAGCAGCTGCATAAGTTCTAATCAATGACACAAATCCCCCCCCCGCTACATCATCTACAGCCTTCTTCAAAATCTCAATAAGATCTTCTGCACCATCTACATCCTTCTGCTGCTCAAAATGTGCCATCAAAGACCCTAGAATCACAGGTGATGGCACCCACTTTTGACCATTCCCTCTACCTGCAGATACCGCGTTGGCTAAACAATCAACAGCCAATTTGACATCCCCATTTTTCAAATAATAATCACAAAATATTTCCCAGGTTTTACAATTAGGTTTGGCTCCTCTCCTGCGGGCCCTTTCCTTGAGTTCCTCAGCCTTGTCTACCAAACCTTCCTTGGTATATGCACTGATGATAACATTTGCAACCCTGATATCATATGTTGAGCACCCAGATTCCCATTCCCTGAAGCACTTCTCTGCACCAGGTACATCCTTCAAGTTAACCAGCACTTGAATCATATTTAGATAGCTTATATTTGCAGTTTTAGGAAAAGCCAGCCTCAAAGAGCGCCATATTCGATAAACTTCAAGCAACTTTCCAGTTCGACCATACAAAGTAATCAGAAACTGGAAAGCAAAAAGATCTTTGTTTGCATTTATCTTCTCCAATTCCTTAAGTGCCTTTTCTGCCTTATCAAAATAGCCAGCATCAACATAAATCGAGGCTAAGTTGCTATATGTTGTCCAATTCACAGCAACTCGGGCATCCCTCTTCATCTCTTCGATCACTCTTTCAACACCAGAAATATCATTTACAGCTGCCAGAGCCCTCATCCAGACATTGTATGTGTAAGAATCTGGCATGACATTGTCAGCCTTCATTTCCTGTATAATTGCTGGGATCCTTTCGGGCTGACCCACTTTTGTGTAAAGAGTCATAAGGCTGTTGTAAGACATGGAGCCCAAACCAAGATTGAGTTCCTTCATCTTTTCAATGAGAGCTTCTGCTTCTTCAGTCATCAATTCTTTACAGTAACAGTTGAGAAGAGCTCCATATGTTTGAAGGTTCTTGGATGTTTCAGGAAGATCAATGAAGTAATTTTCTGCAGCAGGTATGCCTCGAGTTTTGGCAACTAGATCAAGATGGATAGCTTGATCACTGACGGTTTTATTCATGCCCCTACTAGACATAGTTTCTGATAGCTGTAAGCAATGAAAGAAGTAAATATAATGATATACAATATGCAGGGTATGATTAAGGAATTTAGAGTAGCACATATATGATTATGACCTAATATCCATTAAGAGCAAAAAATTATGGTACAACATTGTCTAATTGGGGGATACAGACAATACCACTAGTTTGAGACAAATGGTCGTAGATTAACTGCAAGGCACAAAAAAAATAAAAAATGGATGCAGATGTTCATAAAATTCAGCATGTTTCACCTTCTAGATTCAGACAATCACATCCCATAATATCACAAACGAATAATTAGAATAACAAGTATACAGGTAAAGAAGATTGGGGGTTTGAGGAAGGATGCCTTGACAGCTGGGTAATAAAGGTTGCGACTGCGAAGCTTCTTGATAGTGTCACCAACTTCCCATTTGAAGACACGCCTGGAGCTCTTGAGGAACTGATTTAACTGTTGTCTCACACTAACCTCTGAGCTGCCTTCTTTGAACAGCCTCACATACAGTGCTTCTTCTAGATACTTCTTTGATCTTTTTGTCACACTTTTTGTCCGCCCATATAACTGTGGCATCACCATTCTTTTTGGTCTTTGACAATAACTGAATGGAAACAACGGATATCAAATAAAAATATCATCATTGTTACTCAAATGCCAAACATACAGAAGTTGTTCACATTCAGTTTCCATAACACAAAGTGTCGAAGTCCCAAACAATTGTTGAGATTTGGCAATAAAAGAAGAGTAATTTCATTTCAACAGCCAGCAAGGAAATTAATTCTCAAAAATTCTACAGTAAATGCATAATTAGCTGAATTCCAAAGAATGATATTCAGCAAAGCATAGGTGAAAAGAAATTAAAAAAATTGTCAAAATTGAATGATTACTCAAGAACTGTCCAAGCTGATGTTTAATACTTCTAGTTCTAACCACTCTGAAACTTGACAAATATTCATCCCACTTAGCTCTATGATTCAATCAAATATAACGATTCATATAAGCCGACTCAACGACGAAGAATATGTTATATATTTACCGTTACCACTCACCTTGTAAGGATGCCCAAGTTCAAGCTGAAGCAAGGTCGATCCAAGCAGAGCTTGATAAATAGAATAATGGGGTGCCACTGCCAGGCTCTTACAGCAAGAGAACGACGGCCGATGGCTAAGTAGGCTTGGGTTGGTGGAGTTCCGGCGTGACGCTTTAATACACCGAGAATTAGTTACAGTGGGTGGAGGTCTGTTTAGGGTTTAAGGAAATGAAGGTAAGTGAATTTTTTTTATTTTGTTTTCATTAACTACGTTTTCGTCATTTTATTTATGAAAACCTCAACTTAGTCCCAAACCTATAGATATAACCTTTATCAATTAGGCCCCGAATATTTATATACTTCTCAGTTTCATCCTTCAATTTCTTCTGATAGTTTAAGTCTAATATACATATTTTATCCGCTAAAACAATGTAGATTTTAAAAATCTTTGATGGAAAAAATAACAAAATTAACATTATTTTTGTTTAATGTGCATATTATATATTAAAATAACATCATTTTAAATACAATTTAGATCAAAGGCACTTGATTGAGAGTATTTTGAAACATTCAAGGCCCAATGCATAAAATTTATATAGGTTTAAAACTCAATTAAAAATAAATATTTAGATTGGAGACTAAATTAATATTTAAAAATAAAATTATTAGTATTCACAAAGCTATCATATCTGTACAGTGTAGCAAAGTTGTGAACCGGAGTCATTTTAGATTTTTTTAATTAATGTAAATATTTGAGTCAATTTGTATATTATCAACTAATCTTACGGACACTGAAGTTAATAACCATGTAAGTCTTCAATGAACCTGAGGTTTATTGAACTCAAATTGGTAACCTTTAGAAAGTAAACTTAGGGCCTGACTAGTTGAGTTACACCTCTCAGGGTTATCGTTTTAGACTATTAACTAGTTAGGTAGCACGCGTTACAATGCGAGTTAAAAAAAATTATATGTTATGGAAACTACTTTATGTTTGTTAGCTACAAAGTAATTTCATTTTGAAAAGTAATTTTCTTGGAAAGTGAATTCCTGTAAAGTGAATTATTTTTTGATATTTGATAGTGTTATAAAAAATAAGTTGAAACACACTTTCCAGTATTTGATTATGTTATGGAAAATGAGCTATAAAATAGCTTATTAATATTTTATTTTTTAAAAATTTATTAAAATAATAAGAAACAAATCTTACAACTTAAAAAGTTAAATGAGAATGAAATTGAAAAAAAACTAATTTCATAAATTATTTCAAATAAAATAAATAATAATCAAAATAATGGAGATCAAATCTAAAAAATTAAAAGATGATGAAATTCAAATAATTATAATCATAAATTATTTTAATTAAAATAAGTAACAATAAAAAGAATGATGACTAAATTTTATAGATAAAAAAATTTGTATTAAAAAAATAATAAGAGAATTATGATAAAAATAATAATATTTTTTTACATTAATACTTTGAATTATAATAAAATAAAAATATATATAATACAAATAGTTATATTTAGAAACCCAAGAATATTTATAACACAAATAATTATATTTTTTATATGAATATTTAGAATTATAATAAAAATAATAATATTTATAACACTAATTATAATATTTTTTATATTAATACTTAGAATTATAATAAAAATATAATATTTATAATAAAAATAATAATATTTTTTTATATGAATACTTTGAATTATAAAAATAATAATAATACTTATAATACAAATAATACTATTTTTAAAATGAATACTTTTAATTATAATAAACAGAATAATATTGATAACACAAATACTAATATTTAGAAATTCAAGACCCAAGAGCATTAGATCCTCGAGTAAGACCTAAGTGACTTGGGTCCAAATACAGGACCCAAAGCCAATTTGTTCTGTATCTGGAACACCCAAGAGAATTATAATAACAATAATAATATTTTTTATATTAATACTTTGAGTTATAATAAAAATAAAAATATTTATAACACAAATAATTTTTTTATATAACTATTTAGAATTATAATAAAAATAATAATATTTATAACAATAATTATAATATTTTTGTATATTAATACTTAGAATTATAATAAAAATAATAATAATTCTATCACAAATAATAATATGTTTTATATGAATACTTTGAATTATATTTTTTAGTCTTAAAAAAATGATGGTTTTTTTCTTCAATAGTAATAATAGTATTTTTTAAAAAAATTTATTAATGATCATAATAATAATAATTTTTCAAATTTATTAATTATTTTATTAATAATATTAATTATAATAAAAAATAATGTGAATAATACAAATTATAATATTTTTAAGTATAATAAAAATAATAATATGTAAGACAAATGATAATATTTTTAATATCCATACTATTGATTTTAATAAAAATAATAATATTTATACCACAAATAATACTACTTTTAATATTAATACTTTCAAGTATAATAAAAATACAAAAACAATAGAAGAAGGGGTTAAACTTTTTTATAATTTGTATTTGTATGTAATTTGTAACTGAAAATAAATGTAAAATTAAGTATAATTTAATAAAATAATTAAATTATTAAAAAATCATTCTAAACCAAGTTCATTATACCTGAACATGGTAGAGGACCAAGTCCAGGGTATACGGAGGGCGATAAAGCATGGAGGTGGAATTTTTTTGCTAATACAAAAATAACATCCATGGAAAAGAAGAGATTGCTAGGTAATAACAAAAAGGCATTGTAGGCAAGTTATAAAGGACATTGTTATTTGCATATTATATCAAAATTATAGAGATAACAGTCATTTTCTTGTTGTAGAAACCCAAATCCAAGTTATTAGTAGAGAAATTGGTAGTGCTCCTATGATGTAAAGATAATGAAAGAAATAACATCAAAATAAAAGAAAGGATGTGTGACACGTGTGTGCTACAAGCATGTGTAATATAATATAACATAGAATAATAATTTGTACAATAAAAGAAAAAAAGCTTGCTGTAATTTGATGTTTTAGCTAATGTTGTTTTTTTTTTGACATGTTAAATAGTCTTTATAAAAATATTTTTTGTTTTTTTTTGTTTTGTGTTGTAGATGGAATTGAATGTTGAAAATTCTATAAGCAATTGTGAATTACACTAAGTTAAATGTGTGGATGAGACAAGAAAAATAAAATTAAATGTGTTTAATATTTTTTTAACATTACCTTATATACAATTTATATAGCCATTATAAAACTTTATTTAAAGTCCTATTGATTTCAAGTCTTATGGCGTCCATAAAGGAAACAATATATGTTACAATGATTTGTAATTTAAAAAAGAATAAAAAGTTATATTACAAATAATAATAATAAGCTATGAAAGAATGTGAGGTCAAAAATCAAACCTTTGATGGTAATGAGGATGTTGTTTATTGTTTTTTCAGAAGTGGAAGTGAGCGATCAAATATAACTATGCTCTATATAGACTTCCTTGAGATTCCATTGTGCTGTCATGCTCATCTTCATGACTTTAATTAAGGAGTTAAAGAGATGCATGACAGAAGAACCATAGGTAAAGAACCATCTAATTTAGCATATGTCAAGGACAAAACAATGATGAGGGCAAGTACTAAGCAAGGATTTTAATGTTTTATACTAACATGTTTTATATTTGTTATCTTGTTCACTCTTTAATACTTTGCTTGTTAAAT